CCCGTGTCCCCTGCATCGGCAGGTGGACTCTCAACCACTGCACCACCAGGGAAGCCCCCATTTGTTTATTTTTGCTTTTATTTCTTTTGCTTTAGGAGATGGATCCAAAAAATTTTGCAATGATTTAAGTCAAATTTTGCCATTTACAACAACAACATGGACGGACTTAGAGGATCCCATGCTAAGTGAGGTAAGTCAGACAGACAAAGTTTATTTTTGCTTTTATTTCTTTTGCTTTAGGAGATGGATCCAAAAAATTTTGCAATGATTTAAGTCAAATTTTGCCATTTACAACAACAACATGGACGGACTTAGAGGATCCCATGCTAAGTGAGGTAAGTCAGACAGACAAATACTGTATGGTATCACTTACATGTGAAATCCAAAAAATACAACAAACTAGTGAATATAACAAAAAAAGAAACAAACTCACAGATACAGAGAACAAACTAGTGGTTACCAGTGGAGAGAGGGAAGGGGGAGAGGCAAGATAAGGGTAGTGGATTAAGTGGTACAAACTATTATGTATAAGCTACAAGGATATATCGTACAACACAGGGAATATAGCCAGTATTTTATAACTATAAATGGACTATAAGCTTTAAAATTGTAAATCACTACATTGTACACCTGTAACTTACATTATATTGTGCATGAACTATACTTCAGTTAAAAAAAAAATTAAAAAGATGGCAAGTTGAACACCATCCTTTTAAATACAGTGGAGACAGGGCTTCCCTGGTGGCACAGTGGTTGAGAGTCCACCTGGTGATGCGACACGGGCTCGTGCCCTGGTCCGGGAAGATCCCACATGCCGCAGAGCGGCTGGGCCCGTGAGCCAAAGGCAAACAGACCTCTGGCCACCTCAACTCAAAGACTGTCACCTCTGCTCAGCCACCCCAGGCAAGCCCCAGCTCTGCCTCCTGGCCGTGGGACCTCCCGGACCAGCCCTCCTTGCGGCCCCCTCCATGCGTGGCTCACCCCACGACCACCGCATGACACCCCTGCCACGAGGCCCCATGGCCCGCTGACCACAAATCAGGCCTCACACGCAGCCCTGGGCCCTGTCAACAGACAGCCTGGCTGCCCCTTCTCTCCTGGTGGATCGTTCTTTCTTTAGTTTCTTCTTCTTTTTCAAAGTAGTGCCTACCACTCTGGGGAGGAAAAAAGATAAAAGGCTGATTTTATTTTATCACTGAAACAGAGTTTCACTTAGATACACTGAAAAATACAATCATTTTCTATCTAGCAAGAAGGGGCAGGTTATCCAATCAATCCTTGCTTAACAAGCACCCTTACTTCTTGCCAGTTCCAATCCTAATTCTTAACAATTTATGCAACTTTATATATATATATAGTGCAGACTACCTGACCTCTCAAGAAAACACTCGTATGTATCCGGACTCCTGTTAAGAGTTAAGATTCAGGCACAGGCTGAATGTAATCTCATCAATAGCAGGTGACTGCCAAAGAGCAAAATGCTAGAAGCGTAAGACCAGGTTTTGATTAATTCAACTATGTATTATATACCTACTGTGGGCTAAATACCACAAAAGAAACTGCAGTTACAAAGTTGAACAAAACCTAATCTCTACTCTTAAAAAGCTTAACCTATCAGGAGAAAAATGTAGGAAGTGCCACATGTAACAAATACTAAAAAGGACAGTCTGAGACAGAGGACTGGGAAAGATGAGAGAGCAGTGAAACCCACTGGGGTAAATCAAACTGAGTGTTAATGGCTTCAGAAATGACTAGCAGACAAAGGAAGCCAGAAAGGCACAATGGCTCTGCTTAATTTTATAAATTATTACCAAATCAAGTCTAAAAATTAAATGACAAATAATACATCCAGATAATAAGATAAGCAAATGGGAGTCAAAAGGAAAGAGGAATAAGACACTGATTAGGTTATTAGTAACAGTTTTTGGAGAGGTAATGCCTCTCACTGTAAAGATCTTTCCCACCAACTTCTCTCTTAAGTTGCTTCCGGTAGACTTAAATTATCTTTTAACTTCCTATTTCTGTTGTTATAGCCACATTTATTTCTGTCTGCAAGTGATCATGCCTTCCTCCCGCCAGCTGGTTTTCTAATTTTTCAGCTTCTAGAAACTTTTAAACAGAAGAAAATCTGATAAAAATAACTTGATATCATGTGATGTGTTGACATATTAAAGGAATCCTGTTGTTGCTTAACCAAGATCATACTTCTATTCTTAAATGTTTCTCCAATAGGAAACAAAGTTTATGTGTAATGTTTGAACATCTCTGAATGGTTTACACTTAAAGTTTCACAGGCTATTTTTAGAAATGTAATACAATTATTTGTCTTTTCATTTAGAGTGATATTATCCTATAAATAAGAAAGCCATTTAAGAAATTCTGATCCCCAAATGTGGTTTACCACAAAATTTCAAGTAGTTTTAAAAAAGGAAAGCAATTAAAAGAGTTGTAAAAAGGAAGAAAAAGAAAAGATGGGAAAACATATACTGAATATAAATTTCCCTTAGAAAACATTTTTCCAAGTGAAACGTAATTATTCTATTGCTGAATGACCATTATAAAAATCACATGGATCACCATATGATACTTAAATAGTTATTTTAAAAATAGGAAAGCAGTCCTTTAAGACAAAAATTAGACAGTATTTTCACACTGAAAGTTAAGCAAAAGGTTTTGGAAATTTTTAGAATGGTTCACTTAAAAAGAAAAACAAATTCAGCAATTCTGAATTACTTATATAATTACAGGCTGGTTTTATCTGTGAAAACCAAATACAACATTAAGTATTAGCATGTAACCAACAATTATATGGAGCACTATACCAAAGGAAGATGCCTTTCTTGATGACAAAATGACAGAGAGATGTAAACTAAAATTATACAGCATTGAAAGGAAACCCACCACTCTTCCCTCTGATTTAAATCAACTGTCAAGAAGAAAACTGCAAGGAGTCAGAGAATAAAACAAATGAACCATCATAACAAAGAAGACACAAGAGTCTTCTGAAACACAATACAAGAATAAAATCTAACCCCTCTTCAAAAGTTTAAAACACTGTTAGTTAAAGGCCCGTTTTCACAGGCAATGATGTGTCAGTAAATTAATCTGAAAATAACGGTTACTGTGATGGCTTTAAAACATGTCTGCAAATTCTTTGACACCCCTCAATTCAAATGATGGGTCAGACTTGATGCCTCACTTCTAATGAAAAAAACGTGCATAAGGGATACTGTGTGACGCTCAGCTTCTGCCTAGCAATGCTTATACGCTCTCTTAGGGCACTGGCTCTCAGAAGCCAGCCACCATGTTGTGAGGAAGCCCAGGCCACGTGCAGGGGCCATACACAGATGTTTCAGTCAACAGCCCCTGCTAGACCCCCAGCTGATACCAGCATCAACTTGCTAGTCACATGAGGGAATCATAAGCCTTCAGATGATTCCAGCACCTGGCCCTGAAGTCCTCTAGCTTAGGCCACAGACATCGTGAAGCAGAGATGAGCCACTCCTGCTCTGCACTCTGAATTCCTGACCCATAGAAACTGAGACAACAAAATTGCAGCAATAGATAACTGAATACCATTACCTAGAATGCACACACATCAAACATGGATTTCTTTTCAAACTGAAAAAATAACTTTTATACAAAACAATTATAGGATATATGCTCCACTTAATAAATTTAGTAGGTTTTACTTAAGTAATACAATTAAACTTCATTAATAAGAAGCTCTCAATTTGAAATCTGAGACAATTAGACTAAAGTTTAGAGTCGTAGGCTGGATGTCATCATTAAAGTGCTCTGGAAAGGAGAATTTAGGGAATCCATGCAAGAATACGAGAATATGGAAGCGAACTAAGAAGTCAGATTGTTTTGAAGTACTCTAACAGTGGAACATTCTCCACAAAGAAGGCACTCGATGGTTATCAAGTGTCAAATGAACATTAGAAGCCCTGAGTTCTTCCTTAATCACTTTATACATGTTAATTAGTTTAAAAGTATTCTATTTGGCAAATTGGTCAGTTTAACTGAAGCAAATGATTTGTGCATACATATAGTTTATCTTTTCCTAATAAAAGGTGAGCTCCTGGGGCTTCCCTGGTGGCACAGTGGTTGAGAGTCCGCCTGCTGATGCAGGGGACATGGGTTCGTGCCCCAGTCCAGGAAGATCCCACATGCCGCGGAGCAGCTAGGCCCGTGAGCCATGGTCGCTGGGCCTGCGCGTCCGGAGCCTGTGCTCTGCAAAGGGAGAGGCCACAACAGTGAGAGGCCCATGTACCACAAA